CCCACCCCGCGACCCGCGACCCTCCGCGGCAGATGCAACGAGCAGAGAGTGCCAACGGCAAATCACACCTCGCGGCCACGGCCTGCGCTGCGCATGGTGCTCGCGGGGGAGGGGAGCACGGGACGGTTGTGGTGCGGGCGTCGGCGTCGCTATTCGGCGTCGCTTTTTACCCCCCACCCCCCTACCCCACTTCCCTACGACCGCGCTGCTTGAATGTCCGTTAAGCTCGGCGTTTAGGTCACCCCCACCTCCCCCACTCCACGCCACCCCATCGCAGATTGCGTTCGGAAACAACGACAACCGTCAGCAGGGCGCCTCACATCACAACCCCTCTGCGGCTCACCCCCGCGGACTGCGCGGACTGCGCGGACTGCGTGGACTGCGCGGCCGGGCCGGCCAAGGGGCGATGGGGGGTCTGAAGCTGCCAGCTGCAAGGGCTGTTGGCCGCGGCTGGCGTAAAAGGCATCTCGGCCCCGCCATTGAGTAAGAAGTTTTAGAGTCACACACACACCTCTACTCTGCAATCCCAAGACTCTTACGCGGATGGCGCTTGCAGACTCTTAGGTTCTACTCCAAGGCGTCGCCAGAGGACCTGCCGGGGCAGCTGCAGCGTCGCGCTTGGCGTGACGTGCGTCTCTCTCAAATCTGATAATAATTGAACGACGTGCGTACGACGGCGCGGCATTCCCTGCACCTCCGGCCACCCGCGCGGGGTGGGGGCGGCGCGGCGGCGGCGGCGGGCCAATGGGCGAGGCAGAGGTGCGCGCCGGCCCGCGCCAGCCAATGGCCCGCGGCCCAGGCTCCTCCCCCTCCCGCGCCGGCCCGCGCCGCTCCCCGCGCCCCGCGCCGCTCCCCCGGCCTGCACCCGGCGGAGGCGATAAAAGCCCTGCGCGCGCCGCGCCGCGCTTCACTCTGTGGCTGGCTGGCCGCGCGGCCGCGCACCCGCGTCGCCCCGACACCCTCAGCGGCACGGCCTCTGCGTGCGGGCCGGGGGCGTGCTGCGCTGCCCCGGCGCCCCCGGCGCCCCCTCCCCGCGATGCGCCCGCCGCGCCCGCGCCAACGTCAGTCGACTCCATGATGTCTCGCGGAGGGTTGGTGCCCCTGGCCGGGCCCCTGGCCGGGCCTCTCGGCTCGCTGGGCCCGCTGGCCGCCCCCCTTGGCCTGTTCCACCACCTGGACCCACACCGGGACGCCGGCCCCACCACGCCGCCGCTCTCCATGACCACCATCGAGGACCTCGCCTACCACTACCGCTACAGCCTGTACCAGTTTCTGCCGCCGCTGCCGCCCCCGGGACTCGGGCTGCCGGCGCTGCCCGGGGGTCTATCCCAGGGGCTGTCCTGCTACGAGCCGCTGTCCTTGCTGTCGTGCACGCCGCCACCACTCGACCTGTCCGTGAAGGCGGTGCCACCAACGCCCATCACACCGCCGTCCACGCCATCGCCCGCCTCGCCCACCAGCCGCAAGCGCAACGCTTTCGGCATCCCCCTCAGCCACCCCGCCCTGACGCCGGCCAAGCTCGACCTCAGCAACAACAACGATGAGAGCGTCATCAACCACAACGTGTCGCCGAGCGCGCCGTCGTGCCCCGCGCCGAGCAGCGTCGCGCCGCCGTCCAAGCGGGGGCCGCCGTCCAGCGCGTCCAAGTCCAGCGGTGGCACCCCGGCCAAGAAGACCAAGGCCGTCCGGAAGCTGACGTTCGACGAGGACAAGAGCTCCCCCGTGTCCGGCACCATCATCCGGGACATCGACGAAGTGGTGCAGGAGCACGGTGACTCGCTCGTGGTGCGCAAAGGTGACATCGACCCGGCCTTCAACGTAGTGGAAGTGACCGAGGAGGCCAAGGCCGAGCTGGCAGCCATCGAGAACAAGATCGGCGACTACGTGTGTCGGCTGTGCCGCGAGCTCTACGACGACGCCTTCTCGCTGGCGCAGCATCGGTGTTCTTGCATCGTGCACGTGGAGTACCGCTGCCCTGAGTGCGACAAGGTGTTCAACTGCCCCGCTAACCTGGCTTCCCACCGACGCTGGCACAAGCCTCGGCAGGGGGACGCTGTTAAGCCCAAGTCGGACGAGCCCGAGCACCTCACGGAGCACCGGCCCGAGCTGCTCGACGCCAAGGAGGGCGACGCCAAGGAGACCCAGCCGCAGATCCCGTGCCCGGTGTGCCACAAGCGCTTCCGGCGGCAGGCCTACCTACGCAAGCACCTTGCGACGCACAGCAGCCCGCTGCCGGGCTTCACCAACCTCGACGTGCAGGGGGACGCGCTCAGGGACACCACCCTGGAGGCGCTACCGCTGCCCCTCACCAACGCCGCCGCCGCCAACTGACATCCGCTGCGGGGGCAGGCCCCTCCGGCCGTGCCCCCCGCCCCCCTCAGCCCCCTCGGGTGCTCCGGAGGCAGCCCCCTGGCGGGGAGCCCTCGGGGGACGCTGGTTGTCCCGCACCCGCTGCCGTTCCACCACCACCTAGGCGTTGGCGTGGGTCCCGACAACTTCTGGTCGCCGCTGCCGCCGCCCGCCCTGGGTGGCGCCCCAAGCTCCGGGCCCGCCCCCGGGCCGCCGCCGCCCCTCTGGAGGTTCCACATGCAGCTCTGAGCAACAGGCCCGGCCCCAGCCCAGCCCTGTTCAGCCCAGCCCAGGGCCCAACCTGTTGGACACGATATGATAATCTGGTGAGTCGTGAGGTTTGGTCATTCCCTGACAAAACTGCCCATCATTTCCATCTCGAGTGCAATCAAAGTGAGAGGCCAAAGACAGTCGCCAAAGACTGGAACGTCAACCGTACTATTAATTAACATTGCATATCTCTTAGTCATAATCGTAAGTGGAGTACCTGTAATCAGCATTTCCCCTTTCGTACAAGAACCGCCTGTGACGGTACTGTACTCTGCAGCTATATCCAAAGATAACACCGCTTTTACTTGTTTGCTGTCCTTCCGGTCGCACTTCAGGAGTTCTGACAAAGTAAAGCCTACATTTGAGTTTTTCATCTATTATGGTCTAGTCATATCTTTTAATTTTCCAAGTCATTATTTTAGAAGTGTATTCTAGTCACCAAAAGTGTATTCTGGTCACCAAAAGTGTATTCTAGTCACCAAAAGGGAGATACTTCAATATCATGGGGTCAGATGAGATCAATCTAGTCATTTGAAACTAGTCCAATGTTCAGCCTAGTCAGCCTGCATAAATCGTCAACTGAGGAAATATTTGCCTAGTCCTACTTGGAATATATAAGTTCAGTTAACTCATTGAGTGCAACACATTTGTTACTCCTACCTGCAGCTAGTCACCCAGGTTGCAACAGTATATGGGCTTGTTGCACTCAAAGAAAAGGTCTTCTCTGAATTAATTTGGAAAACATATAGTCTTGGAAACGTATTCTAGTCTCAAGAAAATTTATCAATCTAGTCAGTGTCAAAACTAGTCAAAATAAAATGTGATTTTTATCTAGTCAGGAGAAATTGGGAAAGTCACAAAAAGAAAGGTCTGATGGGGTGGGGGAGGAGTAGCATTCAGTCCACCATCTATTGATGCCACTAGATCTTCCTTTGCAATAAAAGTGAATAGGGGTGGTTTCTAGTCATGTGCAAGTCATCAATCTAGTCACAATTAATTATAAAGTAATTTACCTAGTCTCTTTGGTAATTCTAGTCCAAAGGTTAATTTCTAATAAGAATAAGGCATACAAAATTCTTGTAAAATTGGTATATCATTTTTCTAGTCAGCAGAGAAAAAAGTCTCAAACTTCTCTAGTCAACAATTGAAAAATCGTCTAGTCTTTCTAGTCAACAAATTAAGAGTTTTATTACTTTTCTAGTCTGCAGAGTAATTACCTGCATAATATAGAACTGATCTAGTCGCAACAAATAGTCATTAATTTAATTATTTTATAAGTTTTGATCATTATAATAGTTATAAAGTATATTTGTTAATTCTAGTCTTTCACCCACACATTTTAGTCTGTCCTCTAGTCATTTGTGCAGAATGAAATGTGCTCCAAAGTAATTAAGTAATTTTTTTGGAAATTACATCCAATCTGATACATTTTGTACAAATTGTCAACTGACATCAGTCATATTTTAAAACGCTTATTTTTCTAGTCTTATATTTTACTCTCATTCAAAACTTGAAATGAAAAACTGAACTGTAGGCTGAATGGCTTTAAAGGAAACTGAATTTGCTTGATCAGGCAGCAACTTGCTAAAACGATCTAGTCATTACTGGTCAAGTTTACTCTTACTCTCCCTAGTCACTTATGTAAAGATACGTAGTCATTTCACACTTACTGTCAGCACTTTTCGGATTTGACAGTAGGTTTCCATGAATTCCCACCCTGTCTTTAAAAGTAGAAAACCAAAAATCTGTAACAACTTGTACTTCTTTTTAGTCTTAAGTACTGACAAGGCCTCTTTTTCACCTTCACAGAGGGCTCTTCTGTGAAGATGGAAAATAGAACTTGAGAAAAACATATGTGATGTAGAATTAGGAAAATGATCACCTTCTTTCGGATTATTGCTATTAAAATGCTCATACCATACTACTTTTGTACTTTAAAGTCCTTTCACAGAAATTCTTAAGTCAGAATCATACAGTTGATCATATGAAACAAAATTTTGTCTGAATTACAGCTTATTATTTTTTATTTGTAGTTCATTTGGCATCATAACTGAAAGTAAAGGTAGTTCATATACTGTGACTTTAATTTTAATTTTAATTTATTTGCCAAAAGTCTTTCAGGAGCGCATGCAGCAGATTTAGCTAGGTTTTCAATCTTGCTTATCTGCAAAGCTGGCCCAATGGAGTGATTCTAGTCATTATTTATAGTCTGGCCATTGTGTGTCAAATGATTCTGGTCGGAGTTCAGAGTTGGATAGATAAGAGTAACAGTGTAACATACAAAATTGGTGCAGTGCTCTTTTCTGTTTAGCTCTGCACTTCCTCCTTGAATTCGCCTTGGTCTTTGTAAATCTCATGCCTTCATGTATATTACCAAATGTAATAATATTGTTAATATTGTAGTTGTAATTCTATTGGACTTTTGCATTTCTTTTCAATTTTATTCTGTACATACAACAAAGCAAATGTTTATATCAGTGTGTGGTAGTAGTTACTAATAAATTATTTTAACTAGCAGTAACGTTACTTCGCTGTTTCAAAAACAGATTATTCACAATTTGATGGAAAAAATTACGAGAAAAGATAAATCTCTTTAAACTGCGTGCACTGCGTTCAGTGTATCATTAATGATTGACGCCTCTTCTATTGTTGAAATATTGTCTTCTTTTAAAGCGCCTGTACGGCAGTATAAGTTACAGTTACAGAATCTGAGTAGGTTATAATAAATGTAAATAGAACTGGAAAGTAGTTTGCTTTGTTTTTTCATTGTTTGAAATAATAAGTTCAGCTTTAATGATCTCATGAATATAATTCATTTCATGTAAATTGACACACTAGGCATAGGCTTCAGCACAGTAATTGTTAAGAAACTTCTTACACATTCCAGTAATTGTAAAAAAAAATTGAGTGAGTTCAAATCTTATAAGATATTGTAAGCTCCTGTTCGAGCATCACCACTATCTCACTTTTAATGTGAATAGTGTAAATTCACCAGTTGCCTAGAAAACTTTTTAGTGGTAATGCTGTAATTCTATGACTGAATCTCAAGAACATAAAATGAAATAATCGCCAACACTCTTTGTATGTATATACAGAAAATAAAACCTTACTTGAGAAAAATATTTCCCTCTTCATTTAAGTCAACCTTGAAATTTTACACAAATAAAAAACTGCAAAGCACAACCACCATAAACAAAATACAGAATTCTTCGGCCATCACAACAGACAACAGACTTACAATTTTTATCCCAATTAACATTCATTTTCAGACTCACTAAGACTATTATCAGTGACCATGCCACTATGCTCCTGTTGATGTTCAATTTTCTGTCCACTAGTGGTGATACCATATCTTACGAAAAGTTCTCTTGCTGTGGAATTGCAGAGCACATCCTGGGTTGTTATTAACTGCTTATTGCTAAACAAACAAAGATAAAGTATTAGCCCAAATAAAAAGTGGTAAATAAAAACAAAAATATAAAAAATACAAACAGAGTTGAGACCTACAGAATAGTTTTGGCAAGCTTTTTTTCTGGTTGTGACATGTCCTTAATAGCCTGCTTGTTAATACCAGGGACTTTACTAAGAATTTTAGAGTTAGTGTCATAGCATTTTAATTGGCCGCGATATGGTTCAACATGTTTCCGGTGCAAAGCTTTCCTTACTTCTTCTAAGGCTTTTGCTGACTTACATTTTAATATGCAAAACCTGAAAAGATGTTGAGAATCAATCATATCGTTTCATCAGACAATAAATCAAGACCAATTTTAGATTTGTACTGATAATGAATTCTCAAGAGCTTACCTAACACTAGCAGGGCGAGAAGGCACGTAAACCGTTTTAATACCAGGATGGAGTTTGGAAATTTCACTAGCTTCTGGGCATCTCTCACAGAATTGAAGCTTTAGCTTAAAATTAGCTGTTGTTTTGTTCTTATGATTCTTTTTACCTTTACTATCCACCATAACTCCACTAGGTAGTGCATCACTTTCGTTAGATGTCATCTTAACCTGAAACAGATACAGACTCTATAGGAAGAAATAATGAAATGAAATGAGAAAAGAAAGGCCTCTAACTATCTCAAATGGATGGAGAGAGGTAAAATGGTATTCAAAATAGGATTGTTAGTGAAACACTCTATTAACCTGAATCAAAGTTGATTGATTCTGTGAGTAATTACAAAATAAACTAAGAAAACCTAAAACGAAAGAATGGAGAATATCAGTTAGGAAAGAAATTGATCAGTCACTCAATTGAGATTACCATTGAATTGGATAATTAGGCACCGCGGCCACCTTAAGTTTGATTTCAAAGACAACACGTGTTTATAACCTGACCAGCTCACTCTTGCTTAGCACTTAGCAACATGTAAACAAAAGCAGTAGACGGCAGTCGAGAGAATCCTGTGCTAAGAAGGCGGTGATGGTGGTATTCACAGAACTGACTGATTTTCAATAAATCGTGCAAATAAAACCTTTTCTGCTTTAGTACAAATTAGAAAACAATGATTCTTGTACAATTTTCGTTGTTCTGTGAGTAAATGTATCTGATAACGCACGAAGCATACATTGTGAGCGATGCCGTGCGCGTCCTGCACTTCAGCACGTTCTGCATTGCGTAGATCACAAAGAAATGCATTGAAAAAGACAACTCTTACCACCAGTGCTTCTGAGGCTTCTGCTATAGGTGAGCTGCTATGACTTCAGCTAGTTTCAAATTTCCAAGAAAATCAAACATTATTTTGCCTGGGATGTATTCAAAGTCATCTCGTTTCCGTTTATATCTTGTTTTTTTTCTGTTAGAGTCCGTGGGTGTTGTGACAATAAACTTTCAGCATCTAAGTTTTAACTACAACAATAATAGACAGTGCCAATTTTTTTCTCTTTTTCTCAAGCTCAACATGAAGCATCGTCAAAAGGAAGTGATCCGGAAGTTGCTGCTGAGCAAGCACTTCATGTAGATCACTCTAACAGTTTTGGCAATATCAATGAAACCAATGAAGGCCTTTACAATTTGTCGGACCCTTCTGCATCTGATACCTCAGTGATTGCTGGAGTAAGCATTTGTCGCCAACTGCCTTATGATCTTCGTCGGAAATCAATCTCCAATCAAGAGGATTACCAGAACACACTCATACACTCTCCTAGAAAACGATCACGAAGAACTATACTGCATGACGAGACAGAAGATGGTAAGCTAATTGTTTTCCTTTTTTTGAAATGGTGTTGTGACTAACTTAATTTTTTTTTGTACCCTCTTGTCCAGTTGTACACTTTATTATCTATTAATGAGAACCAATTGTCTATTCAGTTGATGGGAACTCATATCCTACCTACCACCAACTGGACTTGTTGCCTGATGACGTACTTCTTACAATATTTCGGTACTTATCAGAGAAAGATTTATGTCATTTATCCCAAGTATGCAAAAGATTTCAAATATTGGCCGATGATCTTGAACTGTGGTAAGAAATGTTCCTTAGAAATTGAAGGGTATCATTGACGTGTAATATACTTTTCAATACCAATCAATTTTCACAATTGCAGGAGGAAGTTGTATCAATCTCTGTACGAATATGATCTGCCTCTATTCCATCCTGAACCATGCCGCTTCGAGTTTGAGAGAGTGGTGGACAGTGAATTGGCAAACCCATGGAAGGAAAGTTTCCGACAGCTATATCGAGGCATCCATGTTAGACCTGGCTACCAGAATTTGGCCTGTAGTGACAGGAAAATTCCTTTCTTTAATACAATTGAAAGTGCTCTTGATTTTGTGTACAAGAATGCTGATCGTCTTACCTCACCGACTGGTGATGCACCTCTGGTTTTCATTCACACTGGAACTTATACTGAAGAGTACATTTTGATAGATTGTGATGTATCAATCATTGGTTAGCATTTCTTTAAAGCAATGGCTTACATTTTCTTTCTCTTTTTCTTTTAAAAAAAAAAAGGTAATGATTGTATAAATTTTTGTTATTTAAGGTGCAGCTCCTGGAATTGTTAGCCACTCTGTTATTTTGGATCGAAGTAATGATGCGACTATCATGTTTGTTGAGGGTGCCAAGCAAGCGTACGCAGGACATATGACACTAAAATTTTCTGCTGATGGACCAGAGCCATTCGGGCCTATAGATCCATTGCTTCCAATTGCTGAAATAGTTCCAGTGATTCCTTTGGGGCAACCTGTTGTACCTGTGGTACCAGTCGCTCCTCTGGTCCCAATTGAACCAATTCCACCTGTAGCGCCAATGATGCCAATAGGTCATGTTGCACCTATTGGTCCTATAGCCCATGTGGTTCCTCCTTATCAGAGGAACTGTTGTGTTGATATAAGTGAGAACTGCTGTCCAGTTATTGATAGTTGTTTGATATGGAGTAACTGTAATGGTAAGAAAATTACCCTCCTCTTTAATAATTAGTGTAATTTTTATGGATGTGTTGTGATTATCAATGATGATAAATGATCACCTTTCTAGGTGGACCAGCTGTTTGTGTTCGGGGCATTGGAGCAAACCCAACCATCAGACGCTGTGACATCAGCCATAATGCAAACATTGGCCTTTGCATCACTAATTGTGCCCGAGGCTTGTATGAAGACAATGAAATTTGTAATAATTATCTTGCTGGAGTTTTAGTTAAGAGTGGAGCTAATCCTATTGTTCGAAGAAATCATATACATCACGGCAGAGACATGGGAATTTTAATTTTTGACAATGGCATGGTAAGCATTAGTGTTTGTTGTTCAATAGCTTGAATTTTTTTTTGCATGATGTATACAGATATCTGTCTTGGGCCAATAGCCGCCTCCCGGTTAGTCAAGTCAAGTCTGTAAGTGTGCTAATACATTAAGTCCTATAAGATTAAAAATATTTGTTAGAGCATCTTGATGGCAGACCATTTATGTGGATGTTGTTGACTTGGGGTGTTAATCCAAAGTACATATGCTAATACAATTGTTCAAGTTTGTTTTGCTTTGATATATACCTTTATAACGGTACCTTTACAACCTTTGTCTCATTTTCAGGGATATTTTGATAACAATGATATTCATAGCAACTTTAATGCTGGCATTGAAGTGAAGACAGGTGCAAACCCTACAATTGTAAATTGTGAAATTCATCATGGCCATAGATGGGGTATTTATGTTCATGGAAATGGACGAGGTCAATTCATGTATAATAAGATCCACTCATTTACTTTAGCGGGTGTATGGATAACTTCACAAAGTAATCCAACTGTACGTCGGAATGAAATATATAATTGTAGGCAAGGTGGGGTGTACATCTATGATGGACGAGCCCTCGTTGAATACAATAATATATATGGTACGTAAAAGAACAAAATCACTGTCACTTAGATTAGATTATCTGCAATTCATTCATCTGTCAATTACATGCCAAATTTATTTTCCTCAGGAGATGCAATTCCAGGAATTCAGATCACATCATCAGGTCATCCAATCATTAGATACAACAACATTTATCATTTGTAGAGTATTAGAAATATTTCAAGTGCATCAAGATGTGCCAAACTTTTCAGATGAAAGTTGCCATTAATCTGGTTTACTTTTAACATTTTCATCCATAGAAAATGCCACCTGAATCTTATGTTTTATCCAATAGGAAACAACAACAAAAACTAGTCATCACTAGTCAAAGCTACTGTACATACTGATTGTGTGTTATTTATGTAATGTCTTTAAAAAATTACCCTTTATGGTTATGCTTTAGATGTGATACCCCCCCCCCCCTCTTATTTTAAATGTTTTGGGTAGCATAATTACAACATATTTATTCCTATGCTGAACTTGGAGCACTCTCTTGCCGAAACTAGAGAACAAACAGCATTGAGACAGAATAAAACAGAGTTGTTTGTCTAAACTCTGTTGTCTTATTAGAATCTCATGTAAACTTCTAAACTCTGTAAATACAGTGTGTTTGTAATGGTATTGAAAAATAATGCTGTTATGTTTTTGTTTTTTTATTAGTCTTTCACAACAGTGCAAAATATAACCTGTCTTAAAACAGCAACAACAGGCACAGATGTTGTAATGAAGACAAAAACAGTTGTGCAGGAGTATATACATGTTATTTAGGTGAAGTCATAAATAAATAATAGAAAAAAATATTTGAGGAGCGTTTTGTCGCTAAACAAGACTACATTAATAGCCACTAAGTCAGGTACCACATAAATCTCTAATTTCCAGTTATTGTCAATTAATATTAAACTGAACAACCATTACAACCCAAGACATATCATATTGGAATTCAATTCAATAAAGGAACAACAGTACAAAAGATTTGGAAGTCTTTTCAGATGGGATTTTTATATCAAGATAGTTTACCTTACAGATCTAGGACTAGAAGTAGAAAAGTTTGTTTTAAAAATAGGTAGTTTTTCACAGTTGTTATAATATATATAAAAGATACATTGCTACCAAAAATAAATAGGTTTATACTAAAGCAAAATCACGTTAGATTCTTGCAAAGCTCTAGACAAGCTAACAATCACCGGTTAATGAGAAAACCACTGGAAGTGCATTAAAAACATGGAATGTGAGCAATATTCATATTACAAATATGAAGGTAGAAAAACAATGGTCAATAAATAGGTTGTACTAACAGACAAAGTGAGAGAGGAAGAACTGGGCAATGAAGGATTGCCCATATAACTATGTACAGATGAGTCATAAAATAAATAAATCAATAAATAAACGGATACAAATAAATAAATAGGCATACAAAATGGTACTAACAAAGCAAACTGCACAATTCTACAACAAACAAGTTTCATAACAACAAATAATCAACAGTTAACAAGCCCTTTAACACCTCCGCCATACATCTTTAACACTAAGTTTCAGTCAAGTAGGAAATGTTTTGTACAAAGTCAACAGAATGCAAGTGACATTCATTACTAGTCAATTTTTATGGTCATGTAAGAATAACAAAGTACTCAAGCAAAACGGAATACATAACATGCTTTTAGATAACAGGAGTTTTGATAAGGTCTTTAGAAAAAGAACAAATGCATAAATGTTTGTTATCAATGACCATGAATAGAAACATGACTGTTAGTTAAACTACAACAAAATTAAATTTTAAGTGTCAAAGCAACATTGTTGCTTTTAATTACATTGATATGTACTGTGGTATATCATCCATCCACCTTGCATAGTTACCATTATTATGACACCCACCTACATGGCATTATAAATACTATTGACCAGAAATGAAAACATTTAAAATATATGTGCATTGTTCTAAAAGAAAAAAAAAAGATACCTGGCAAAGGAGGGAATACATCATGTCTGATTTAAAGTAGACTGAGTTTTAATCCTACTCCAGCTACTATAGTACTGTATAAATGCAAAGATAAGTCTTCAGCAGATCTTAAACTACAGAAAATATTTGGAATCATTGAAATTAGCTCGGCAGGATGAATGAATATGCCAGGACTACATAAGAAGAACTTTCCAATCAAACCTCATATTATTGGAGTGAGTCACTGGTGGAAGAGGGAGTTCTTTCAACTTCCATTGTGACTCTTTCTCTGTTTCATTCCTATTCTCATCATCTGAAACAAATTCTTCTTGAACTAAACATAAACTGCAGTAAGGAATCTTTTGAATCAGACGCGCCATCTCCTGCCCTGAACGTATTACTCCTCCTACTAACTGACGAGAGCAGACTTCCAGGGTCACAGCATGACCCATTAAAAGAATATTTCCCCCTGCAACATGAACAAAAGAAAAATGAAGATACATTATGGTGCTGATTGTTAAGTTTAGATGCATTGATTGGAGTATGTGGCACCAATATCATACTACTACATTACATTATACATTGAAATGTTTCAATGGTAAAAATTTAGATGAAGGTACAGTATTACTTACTAAATTACATTAAAGGACATCACACAAGCAAAATCTTACCTTGTGATTTTGTTGCTTCCAAAACACTTTGAGTGAGGTAATGGCTACGCATATAAAATTGTTCTACACTTTCTCGTTTGTCCTGCAGCTCTTCAAGTTTCACAAATGGTTCATAACCTGATAAAATGTTGAACCCTGCAGCTGTTAGTTCTTCAGCAGACATCCAGTCTGGCATTGTGTCAGGATACCACGCCAACCATTCAAAAAGTCCTGGTTCTAATGCAATTGGTGTGTCTAATTGTCCCAATCCTAGAAAAAAAATCATACAAGTGACAGACACAGAAAATTCGGTTTCATAGTTGTGAAGAGTTGAATCATTCCTCAACAAATACCTTTCAAAACAGATGTACATGTTTGGATACATCTCAAAGAAGGTGAACAGTACACGTGATGCAGTTTGACCCCAGCTTCTCGGAGAGCATCACCAGTGAGTTCTGCTTGCAAAATACCTACATTTGTAAGAGGGCAGTCTTTCAGAAAACCCTGAGGTCCGCTCTTGCGAATTGGCACTGATCTTGGCATATTGAGATCTTTTCTCATGTAACGACCTGTAATTTCATTTTGAAAATTTAATCTTAACTGTATTATTACAGCGCATCAATTAAATAAAGAATCCTGCTACCCTACTACCAAAATTTTTTATGAAAGAACACCAGCATGCAGTTTAAAAGAACAGATCTTAGGATAGAATAAAACCACACACAACATACTCTAAAATCTACATCTTATGTCATCTAAATTGTACTGTTGCTCTTTCAAATTTAAATTTATCAAGCTTTGTACAATGTGCAATCAGGAAAAAGGTATTAGATGGTTAGACTTTTGCTTACCTGCTTCATCAAAGCAATAAGGTATCCAACTACCAAATGTGAAGTCAACTCTTTCACCATGTCTCATTATAAGTAGCTGTCGAGGAGAGACTTTTTCTTCGGATTGTTGCCAAACTCTATCAACCTCATCATTGATATCAGAAGACACACTGTCCGTGACATCAGCTGACAGGACTTCCTGAGTCTAAGAGAAGTAAAAGTGAAGTTTTATTCGTAATTATCATGTACCATAGAATGTACAATTGGCCTTAACATAGTACATACATCTTTGGACTCTTCAACATTCTCATACACAGATGATGGAGGATCTGTCATGATATCACTTGGAGTACTGCACCTACCATCTGAGGTAAATGACTGACTGGGAAGCGAGACAGTAGGTTGACGAGTAACAGCAATTCCATCAGACTCATCCACACCATCTAGAGCATCTTCTTGGTTAATTGGAACAGATCTGGCAAAAATCAATAAGAAAGCAGTTAGGGCTAATAAATTAGCAAAGACCAGGGTGGTAGAGAATTCTTCAAAATACTGTATGCAGGGAGACCAATTTGTTCTCGAACATTAGAATGACAAACTGTTTAAATTGAGTAGATACTTTACCTATGAAGAGTCCATGCATCAGATTCTGCAGTCCTTTCAGTATAATTTTGAGGTAAATATCCACTACAACCTGAAATGTTTGAGAAATGTACCTAATACAATATCTCATATCGAAATGAGCAAATTAAGATCAGCAATAGAAAGAGGCATACCTGTCAGCCAAGAAACACCATCAACCCAACCATCTGGTGAAGACACCAAGGCATCTTGACCCATATAAATAAAGTCTCCAATTCTGAGTTCTAACTCATCAGGCTCACGTGGCACATGTGAATACAGCACCTTGTGTACCTTTGCACAGGAGCAGAGTATTGAATAAGATACTTGAGTCTAATCTAATCAAGCAATTACAATCTAATTTATTCTCACCTGTTTGTTTGCTATACGGGGGTCTCTAGAATAAAGTCGCAATTCCCAAACTGCAGGGGCTGAAGGGTCCAATTCATCGACCAGTTCTTTCAGAGCTGGATAGTCAGATGAAGGAAACTGATATGCAAGAGTAAGATGGAGTGACTTTACATGTGGCTCCAAAGAAATAGCTGAAAAATAAAAAACAAAATTAGTGTAGAAAATATAAAAGTTAA